TGCAGAAAGAGTCTCCCATGCATTGATTCTGTGTATAGTTCTTACATGCCAAAAGATGTCCTATGGGAAAAGCCCCATTCAGCAATCTGCACATCTTGTGTATCAACAGAGGGCTAGCAACATAAACTAATTCTAAGAAGTGGTAGGAAGAGACATTATGGCGTCAAGTAGAGAGGAATGTTCTTCTTTGAAGGCCAGTAGAGGCTTTGGGCAAATTCAGTATCTTAGGCTGGCCACTGAAATGGGGCATGCATATGTATGGTGATCTGAGCTGCTTAGAGGTGCAAAGTCAACATAATCTGTTTGTGGGATGGTGACAGGCAAACACTTTCCTTTCCCACAAACCTCAGAAGATTATCACTTCTAAGGTGTAACCTATGCAACTTTGTTATGGAAGGAACGGCAAAGCATGGCTTTACAAACATCAACAACAGGTGGAGGGCCACAGAAAGTATAGGAAATAATTGGGAATGGCAGCCAACAAGTAGGATGCTGTGTGAGAGAATCGTTTATGTAGATCATTGTGTTTATATACATATTACTAATGAGGTTTTAGCATGTGTAATAAGAGCTTTGACAAAAGAGATGAAAATAAATGCTTTCAGTAGTATACAAGCATATTAGTATGTTAGTTTCATGACTGTTGTGAAGGGAAGTGTGTCCTTTTTGTGGCAACTGTCAGTTTCCCTATTGTTAGTATCACATTCAGAAAAAACAATATATTTACATCAGGAGAGATAAAATCTCTTTCTACATTCAAATTTAAAATATTCTCCCCTGCAAGATCTGCTCCTGAAATCAGTATTTTTCAAGGCTGAAAACTCCCATTTCTAAATTGATTAACTTGGTGTGAATTAGACATTTTGATACACCAGTTTTTTCTAAAACACATAATATTAAAAATAACACTTCAAACCCTATCTTTTACTTAAAGGTCCCTTATTAAAAAAAATCCAAAGAAAATATATTGCAGTATTAGTGCAAATTTTATTGGTAGTGTATTCCTTTCCTACATGCATGTACTAGTGGCTGGCTAAGACACTACACAATGACAGGTCTATGGATGATCAGGAAGTTTGCACACCTCGGGTTGTTAATGGAGTAAACAAGGTGAAAAAACTGTAGTGTCATTAGTGTTGGCTTCACCCAGTGCAGGGAATGACCAAGAACTCAGATAGTCCCAGATTCTGCTATGGGGAGCCTACTGCTCCCCCCACCTCAGCAGCAGCCTCACCATGAGTCAGCCAGGTGCTATGGTGAAAACAGGAAGAAAGGCCCCATTGTCCACTCTGGCCACCTCAAGTAAGAAGTGTGGGAAATATGGACTGCAATGCATGACTCCATCAGAGCAATGGAGTTTGTCCTCTCTGGGCATGATAATAATTTTGGAATCACACCCTCTGATGGAATCACCCAGTACATCCTGCACTTCCCACACACCCCTAGTAATGCCACTGTGAAGGAGATCCCACATTTTTAAAGTACTGCTGAAGCAGATGAAAATTATAAAGAACAATGCTGGATCAGACTAAAATCCTACTTATTATATTAATTGAAGTATCTTACTTTTTTCCCAGTATGGGACCCAAAGCAACCCAGCTTTTGGTTCTGACAGTGACCAACCAGATGCAATATGAAGCTCAAAAGCAAAAGGAGAACACAGTAGCACTCAAGTCATCCATCTTGCTAACTTTTCCCAGCTATTGATATTCAGAGGCATGCAGCATCTGAAGCTGAAGGTGATATATCACTGTCATGACTGGTGGCCGTTCGTAGTCTTATCCTTCATGAAACAGATTTATCCTCCTTTTAACTGTGCAAATCCCATTTGGGATCAAGGCAAGATGTTAATAAATTAGTAAACAAACAATCCTGTTCTTTGCATATTACTTTTAAATCTCAGAGAGACTGGGTTCAGATTAAGTATGCACAGGATTGTGTTAAAGTATACATAATGTTCTGTTGGTTGTGCTGTTTAGTATTCCTTGAATACTGGGGTTGGTATGAGGGTATCCTATCTAGGTTTTGTTTTCTCTCTTCTTTCTCCATTTCTATTGTTTATTTATGGCACCCTTTCCCTGCATCTTATGATTCAGTGAAGCCAAGCATATGGCATTTATGCCATCCCCATTCTTTTTACAACTTTGTCAATATTAAACAGGGCTGTTGCTGTGTACAATCAAATTATTTCCAACATATGTAGACCTTAAAGAATAGGATTTTCTTAACAAGATAGGTCCAGTGGTGGTTAGACATTGCTTCCTACTAAAGCTAAAAGATAATAATTTGTCCAAGGTCACCTAGTGAGCTTCTATACTAGGGTATTCAGATCTCATGGTCTCCCAGAGTCCTAATCGAATACTCAAACCACTGTTCCACACTAGCTCTCCAACAAAGCAATACTGGGAAGGAACTGTGAGAAATTGACAAGAATTGAGAAAGAAAGAAAAAAACCTGAACTTGCAAATAGGGGTATGTTTAGTCCAGCAAATGTATATTTACATGCAGATCATATTATCCCTTCTCCTTTTTCTTTGTGTAGAGAATTGCAGTGCCACATGAGACAAGCAGATCAGGGTAGAAAGATGGCAGACATGAGGTCATAGAGATGTCATAGAGATCTACCTTAGAATCATAGAGTTGGAAAGAGAGCACATTGGTCCCTACCATGACTGAATGGAACAGAATCACATCAGTAGCAATTGTCTCCTAGTGCCAAGAGTAATTCTTGAAAAGACTAGCATTAACAAGAGAGATTAAAAACAACCTTCTTTTCAACTAAAGACTAGCTTGAAGATTTGAGATCTTCTGCTTCCCAATCCAGAAAGCCTGGTATTCAGGTCACTAGAGCAGTGATGCTTGATAAAGTTTTTTAACTTGTATTATGTAATAATCTCAGAAGGACATGTACTGCAGCAAATGGGGAGGGTCTTTGCAAAAATCTGTGTTGTCCCTGTGTTGTCACAGTATTGGTTTTATAATAGTTGAGATACAACAGTTGTGGTTAGGACCACCATCAAGCAATTTCTGTCCCCAAATCCTGGTGTTCTTTGGGATCCACGTATTCACTTGGGGTCTTTCCTAATTTGGCCTGGCCATATTTAGCTTTCAAAATGAGATGAGATTGGATGTGGTATGATGCTGGTTTTTTTCTCATACTTTCAAAACTTTTCCAGCTGAGGATTACCACATGCATGTTTCTTGCTAGGGCTAGTTGTAAGGGCACTCCTACCCATTGGCATACTGGAAGACCTACTCCAGGGGTAGGGGAAGCATATTTAGTTAAATGTTACAAACATCTATGATAGGAATGAAAACCATATGGCTTTCCAAATGCTTTGGTGCTCATAAACTGGTTTGTTGTAACAATGTGTGTGGGAAATGGTTGGCAGACAGATGTAGCAGATAGCAGTAAGATGAGACAACATGTTTAATGCAACTTTCTTCACTTTAAGTAATTTTTACCTCTTCATCTTTCCCCAGAAAAGGCTTAAATCACTTTTAAATTCACTTTGATATTCATGTTATCTGGGTTTGTTGTCCAGTGCAGACTTTACATCTAAAACCTGATTGAAACAAGACCTCTTTTAAGCGTTTTACCAAAAAAAAAAATCATGCTTGTGTATGTATGTGTGTATTGCCACATGGGATATCATTCCTTAAGAGCCAGATGGAATTTGGTGGCATGAAAATAGAGTCTGATTTTTTTCTTTTGCTTGCTAATTCAAAATATACATTTTAATAGCAAACTTTCTTTCATTTTTCTTGGGCCTTTCTGATCTTACATTCTTCTAATTATGCTTCGTCAATCATTGTGTTTTATCCTGAGGTTCCTTTTGTGTTTTTCAGGAAGTAATAGGGTTGCTGGCCTTATCTTATCATAAGATAACCAGAACTATTGGTGCCACAGTTTCAGATCAAAATAACTGGCACAAAAAAAGAACATCCCGTGGCCTTGAAACAGGTGTAAAAGAAGGTTTTCAAATATAAATCTTGAATGCATGTGTCTTTTTCTGGGCCCTGCTACCACTGAAATGTGGTTGCTCAATGGTAAAAACACATCTACATGCAAATGCACATAATTGGTCAAACAAGAACTGCACTTCCAGAAATGCAACTAGGTTTTAAAATGTTATTTTGCCCTCCCACCATACTGTAGTTTAAGGCAGAGATGGGCAGAGTTTAACCTGCAGGATGCATGCATGCTCTCCCAGCTATCTTTTGGGAACCGTCTTGGAAGTCTTCAAAATTACATAACTACATATGGTTCAGAGTACTATAATCAAGAATTATGTACATATTAGATAGGCAGAACATCATAGCAATATCAATTGAAAGAAAGCATACTGTCAGTTAATAATTGGAATAACTGATTCCATCTCCAGTTTCATTATCCAATTCAAACATATGGTGTTGGCTGGTCTGTACACATTCATTATTTTGTGAAAAGGCCACATCCACGAGTGCTCAGGCCCCCATGGCAGCTGGATTGTTTTTAAAGTATCTTTTCTAAATGTTGTGGCTGAATTTAGATACATAGATAGTACTGTTAGTGAGTACATGAGAACTGTCGACCTTTTATGTATGCCTTCCTACAAGATGCTTGGAATTGTTCAGGTGGGTTGAACTTTTCCAATTTAGGTGATGACTTGTATGATTATATGAAAATAAGAAATATGGTTGGAAATTCTGCGAACTCAAAAAAATTGTTGTTCCCTTTGTAGAACAAAGGTAGGATGTGGGGTATATTCAGTATAACAAACATCTCAGTGATTCAGTTAATTTGATGAGAACAGCGAAAGTGATTTATAGTCATGCCTATGATGTGTTCTGATGCATTTATATAAAATTGTGCGACTCTTTTGATATTTTCCTTGAAAATCCTGTTTTACTCATCATCATACCATTAAGCTGAAGAGTTATGGCTATTTTAAAAACTACTCTTAGATAAAGGTGTGCATTTCACAGCTATTGACATAATGTTTTTCTTCTCTTTACAGTTCAAAAGAATGCTCAATCGAGAGCTAACCCACTTATCTGAAATGAGCCGATCGGGCAATCAGGTCTCTGAATATATATCCAACACATTTTTAGGTAAGCATATGATGGTGAAAACAAGTATTCTTTATGCTTTTTCCTATGCTTTTCATCTCTGTCCATTAGATCTATATGGAAAGGTTAGAGCAATACATCTCTTTCCATATAATTTGGTTTGTAATATATTCCCTGTATCTACATATACATCATTATTAGTTAAACAAAATCTAATACGTGTTTTCAGTGAATGTTGTATGAGCATGTGCATGCATTTTGTGTGATGCTGCCATAAACAGATCGGCCTGGTTATGGAAGAGTTTGTTTTATCTGAGGTGGAGGCCCAGATCTGTTCTTGAATTTAATATAATATAGCCTTAAAATACAGCAGATCTCTAAAAACAAAAGAAAAAAATCCAGGGCATGCCAATTATTGTGGTCTCTGAAAGAGTTGGATTGTTTGAGGTTTTGTTGCTAATGCTCATTTTTAGAGCTTATCTTATCCTGTAAGGATCCTAATACCATACTGATCAGTCCCTCTATTTTCAGCATTTAAGTGCAAGTGACATTTCTAATGTTGCAACAACCCAATTTACATACTAGAACGAGGTGTTGATTCAAGTCCCACTGAACCTTATGTAGTTTGCTCCTCATTAACATGTGTAGTATTTAATTTACCAAAATCTTTAGGCAGATAATGTTATGCTTATTTGTTGATAATTCTACAACAGTTTCTAAAGTTGTAAAATGCATGCTTGTGTTTACTAAATGGGAAATGCTGCCACATCTGGCAAAATCCTGGCTGTATAAACACAGTGATAGAGTTGTTTTTGAACACTCGTACATAACATAGCTGCCAACTCATCCATTTGCACTAGACTGAAGTATTGCACCAAGAACCTCATATAAACACATACATTTCAGGATACTTATAATTTGGACTAATGGGGATAACCTAAAGAGAAATACAATTCCTTGCTTGACCCTGCAGATAATTTGTACCATTGCTGCTAATTAGGCATACCTTACCTGTTAAATGGTGCATGAGCATCCAATTGTGTTATAATATTGTGAGAATACAAATTAATGCTTATACTACCTCCCTCCAAAGGAAAGTGAATTTGATCCAGGATCTTACAGAGAGCTGATTCAGTACCTCCTAGTGGATTTATTGCTGTCCTTCTAGCTGGCAGCATAAACCACTTCAATGGCATCATTGTGCCATGTAAAGACACATTGAAGTACTTGTCCCTTGCTAGTGTTGACCAAAGTGTTGATACAGATGGCAAACAGCTCTAGAGCCATTACTTGTCCCCTCCCCTTTGTCTTGATCTTACGCATTGCTGTGCTAACTGGGACACAGTTGGTGAGCTTGAATTCTGTCAGGGGCTATTCAGAATGTAAGAGTAGATTGAAGAGAATCTTAGTATTGTATCAAGCCACATTCAAACATTACACATATTGGGTTTAAAAATAGATGAATATGAGAGTCCACTAGACCTGCACCCCATCCTCTTTGTTGCTAATATAAAGTACTACTACACCAAATCCAATAGTGTTTTCTACACGTGATGGCTCTCTGTGCAGTTTCTAAGCCTGGCTTTCCAAGGTTCTGACTTGCATATAGATACAGGAGACTCTCTGGTTTGTTGTTTTCCATGTTAGTTAAGAGACAGAAGGAATGGGGTTAGTACTTTTCCTTTCCTCTTGTGTTAATATAACCCTTAATGGCTCAAGTATTTGTCTTGTTCACGCTTTTACTACTTCATCTAGGTGCCTCTCAGATTAAAAAAAATCTTTTCATTTTCTATTTGATTCACAACTTCATGAATCCTGGCAAGGGAGGTCCAGCCTAGTTTCAGAATTTTTATGGGGAAGGAGGAAAGGCCCAGATAAGATTGCTTACAGAGGTGACCCACTTAAAAGAATTGCTTCGCTCCAACTCACTAAAGAAAATGAGAGTTTATATCTCTCCCTTGTTCATAGAGGGGGGAAAACAAGCCCTAAGGGAATGTATTCACTGTTAACCCATAATTCGACCTATTCTATAGGCACTGCCACCATACTAAAAGCTAGATATTGTCTGACATGTGAGTTTTCTGAAAGCAGGTGTAGTGGTAGTGGTTTGATGGCAGGTGCTAAACAAAGAACTCCTTGCATTCCTTCTACAGTGGTGCAGTCATGCAAAGAACAGAACCACAACCCACCTCTTCCCCAACATCTTGAATGTTGACTTTTGGAGCCTTCTGAAAAATTGCTTTTCTTTCACCTTGATAATCTCTTGCACAGCATTATGTTGCAATTGCTGATCTTCACAACTTAAACAAAAGAATTCTTAATCATCTTTCTTTCATTTCCCAGCTTTCCACACAGTCTGCTTGAAGGTGGATGTAATAGGATCAAATGACAATGTAGTCCTTTTCAAAGAAATAATGTTGTGCATGGAAGAGCAAGGGCAGGAAAATTGCAGAGTTGAGAAATGCACACAGCACTGAGCATGTTAGCTGCTTGTTTTGAACAAAACCTTAGGAAATCCCTTGGAATTCCATGTCCTATCTAAAATCTTCCAGACAGACTCTTCCTTTCGCTTCAGTTCATCTGACAGCTCTACTTAAGAATCCTCCCTTTTGATGGTTCTAAACTTTGTGCATATGACTGAAGCCATAAACATCAAGGGACACATATGAGTCATTATGCTTCAGCTACTGTTGGTTTTCTTCAGTTCAAGTGCTTTCCCCATCCTCCCAGTATTCCTTAATTGGTGATCAGAGAGAAGCAAGAAAGGAATAGGAGGGTTTGAATGCCTTTGGCAAAAAGTTGGTGACATTTTCACTTTTTTGCAGTGATCTGATCTAGATTCTTTGCTGTTGCCATGTACTAGTCTGTTTTGGGAGAAAAAAATTGAATAAAGTTATAGCTGAAATATTATAGCATCCCCCTTAAAATCAATATACAGTGTTCCCTCACTACTTCGCGGTTCACTTACCGCTGATTCGCTGTTTCGTGGGTTTTTAAATATACATATAAACATTTTATGTAGCGAGGGAACACTGTAGCGAAGAGGGAAGAAGAGCCACCCCCTCACCCTCTTTACCTTCCTCTTCCTCCTCCTTGTCACCTGGGCCTCTTGCCGCTACTTGGACCCTGTGCCGCCTCTGCAGCAAGAGGCCCTGGTGGCAACGAGGAAGAGGAAGGTAAAGAGGGCAAGGGGCCGGCTCTTCTTCCCACGTCGCCCTCTTTACCTTCCTTTTCTTCCATTACAGTGTACAAATAAGTGTACCTGTACTCTTCTTAAGTCTTCTTGATCTGCATCCTGATTTCTCTGTGTTGCAGAGGGTGAATTAAGAGAACCATAAAACAGGAGTAATGACTTACCCATGTTGACTGTGTATCTTTTAAAAGGCTTGAGAGAATGCATGCCAGTATCTGTAAAGACAAACCTGAATATATTAGAGGAAATATATTTTACACACTGTGGAAAAAAATGTTTAGATGAATTTTTTTCACTGTGATTGTTTTAATGTTCTTCCTCCATTTTACTCTTGATTTTTGATGTTAGTAAGTTATGATCTATACCATAATCTGCTGCTTGAATTATTGTTGTAGAATATGGAGCTTCTCTATCTTCTCCTTCAAGTTATGTATTCTATTTCATTGATTCTTAAACCTTGAGCCTCCAGAACCTTTTTGACTTTGGTTCCTACCGTCTCTGACCTTTGACCAAACTGGCTGGGCTTTTGTGAGCTGAAAAATCAGTGTTTGAGAATTACTGGCCTATCTGACTTCTGTATTGTCAGTCTTTTAATGTCCCACATATACAATTGGCAGTTCAGTTACCTGAAAAATGTTGGCCTCGTAGTGGTAGAATTCAAAGACATAGCCAATTTAGTTTGGATCAGTATGCAAAGAAATCTTGCAGCACCTTTGAAACTGTAAAAAAGTTAGTGGCATAAGCTTTTGTCAATGCATTTGATGAAGTAGACTTATTTAGCCTCATACAACCAACTTCTTTCTCTCAGGCTCAAAAATGCTAAAATATATATTTGCATGTTGGCCGCAATATATTTGATAAGCCTCTCTCTTGCTGTTTCTTGATGGTAAGCCAAATTCTCCTAGTTCTGCTTTTGTTTCCAGTTTTTCCATTCCAATCACCTATGACTGTCAATCTGTCTTAATTTGGCATATGATCAGTTTCTTTCTGAATGCCAGCATGGCATCTTTTGAATTCTTTCCCTTTTGCCTCTGCAGCTATAGAATATACTTGGATTCTGGCTATACTGATAAGTTTTCCATGCAGACTTATCAGTAGAATTCTGTAAAAGTGTACATTGTAGCCTCTGAGTGTTTTTCCTGCGCACCTTGTGATCAGTGCCACCCTTTCTTCTCAGACTCCCATTTCTAGATTAAAATACTATGCAGCTGTCTGGTTGTAAACCATTTTGTTGTGCAAGAAATGGAGAATGAGTTAGGAATTCTTGCTTGTAAAATATGTTTTAAAAAGCATGTAAACATATTTGTCTTTCTTCAAACTGTACTCTCCATAAAATAATTATGTCAGCTGTTGTTCACATGTTTTAGGAGAACAATCCATTCTCACATGCTGCATATTGAAAGGCTCATTGAAACACTTTTGGATATTGATAATTTGTCATACTCTGTCCCCATCTTTTACCTGAAAAGAGGGGAAATAATTTAATTCTCTTCATTCACTGCATTTTCCCTGTTTAGAATTGTTTGAGACAGGAGTGGTTCTCAAATTTGTTTGAGAAAGTAATATATAGTAAAATTGTGACTCATATAAATCTGAGCCATTGCTGTATATCATGTGAAATTTCTTTTCATTTTTGTGGTTGTAAGATGCATGTTTTTCTGCATGTGACCAAGTCTTGTTTCCTATTTCTATTAAAGACATCACATTAAATTTATTCAGCAACTATCCTAATTCTGTCACACTGCAACAACACAAATGCTAGTTTGCTGTCCAGCATCTAAAGCAAAATCAGTTGCTGGGAAAAGAAAAGTCATATAGCCTTTTTTCTATTCTATTCCTTTCAGCATAAGAGCCAAATGTTTAGAATGAATGCCTGAAACACAATCTTTAATGGTTTCAAATATTCTTACCACCTCATTTCAGATACAGCGTTAGTGCAGAGACAGTGATAGCAGATCAGGGGAAGGGAAGACAATGATAGATTGGATTTGGGGATTGGGAGTCTCTGGGTTCAAATCCATGCACAGGTGTAACAGTTAGTGGCTTCTTAACTCTTTCATTCATAATGTTCATAATGTTTTGTTTTGATAAAAACGATGTGGAAATCACTATAAGTATATAAATGTAAATATAAATTCAAAGTGAGTTATTTGTTTAAAGCCATGGAAAATGGGTGGTTGGGTGTGAGTTTGAAGCTAGATTTTTATCTAGCCAGTGACTTTTGGTCATTCTGTTCCTTCTTTTAAGTTGCAGATTAATTTGAGGGATGTTTTGGGAAAGGCTGTGCTTTATTTGATACTGATTTTCTCCCCAGGATATGTCTAATGTACAAAATATTATAGATTTTCATTCCTTCTTTTTAAAGACAAACAGCATGAAGTGGAAATTCCATCCCCAACACAGAAAGACAAAGAAAAGAAGAAACGGCCCATGTCTCAGATCAGTGGGGTAAAGAAATTGATGCACAGCTCCAGTTTAACCAATTCCAGCATCCCCAAATTTGGAGTCAAAACTGACCAAGAAGATATTCTAGCCAAGGTAGGAGCCACGCCTCTGTCGGCCAGCTTTTTATCTATAACTTAGCAGAATGTCATGAAATGGTGTTAGATCATATTAATAGCTTTCTAGTATAGTAGTTGCTGAAACCTCATTTGTGGAGTAAAATGAGTAACTACTCTTAATAGTTATCTTTTGAAGGAAGAGATTTTCTTCCCATTTAAAGTCTCAAAATTAATTTCTGAGGAGATTAATATGAATGAGTTTAGATAGCCACCATGCAGTGTTGTTGTTCTGCATAATACTTCTTGGAAAATACAGTGATTCTCTTTCTGTTTGATTTCATATCAGGAACTAGAAGATGTCAATAAATGGGGCCTCCAGGTGTTTAAAATTGCTGAATTTTCTGGGAATCGACCTTTGACAGTCATCATGTACACCATTTTCCAGGTAGGTTTAATAAGAGGCAGCTTTTCATTTTTGCTTTTCTGTACTCTTGATTGAATTTTAAGGATGCTTTCCCTCCCCCTCTTTAATTTCAGGAACGGGAGTTATTGAAAACATTTAAAATTCAACCAGACATGTTAATAACTTATTTGATGACACTGGAAGACCATTATCATGCGGATGTGGCATATCATAACAACATACATGCTGCAGATGTTGTACAGTCTACACATGTGCTGCTGTCAACCCCAGCTTTGGAGGTAAGTCCACAGTATGGCAGGGAAAACAGAAATGCAAACTTGTAGCATAAAGTACACAACCATAAAATTGGTGTTCATATTCTAGATACGAGGTGCAGTAGGTATATTTATGTCTATGACGGACAAGCTACTAATGTACAGTCGTTGTTGTGATTCTCTTTTTCATTTTTACTCCAGTATAGAAAAAAGAAAGTGCCCATTTTCCACTTCTTAACTTGATTTTTATTTGATTTGTTTCCTTAGTAGTCATGTTTATACCAATTAGAAAAACTCAAAAAGTAACATAGCTACATTTTATTTTGAATAGAATTTGTGTATCAACAATAGCAAAGTGAGCATTAGAGTCACTCTAGATAAATTGCAGTGATACAGTTTAAAAAATATATAGAAATACTGTATTGTTGAAGGCTTTCATGTCCAAAATCACTGGGTTGCTGTAAGTTTTCCAGGCTGTATGGCCATGTTCCAGAAACATTATCTCCTGATGATTCGCCCATATCTATGGCAGGCAACCTCTGAGAATGCCTGCTATAGATGTGGGCGAAATGTCAGGAAAGAATGCTTCTGGAACATGGCCATAAAGCATGGAAAATTCACAGCAACCCAGCAATACTGTAGCTGAATATGAGAAGTCCAGTTTAAACTGTATAAAACTTAAACTGTCTTATCTGCATTTTAAAAGGCAGAAATAAATGTCTGCCTAAAATAAGTAAATGACAGATTGAATTGTATTTTAGTCTTGTTAGTAAGCACTTTACTTAAGCTCTGAAAATGGATGTGAGACTATTCATGGCCAGGTTTCCTTATAGAATTATGTGACAACATTTGGTTACTAATAAGAGCATATATTTCTAAAGTTGATGGTAAAGTTTTGGCTTCTGTGTGAAGTTCAGATTTTGAATTTGCAGATAAAGGAATACTTTCGTTTTATAGAATAGTTTTATTCCTTTTAACTAAGCTTCCTAAAGTTCATTCCCAGTAATTAAGATTGATTTGTGGAATAAAAGTTATTAAAAAATTCAAAATATATGGTAAGTCAATACCATAAAGATTCTCCCAAAGGTAACTGTTTTGATTCTTGAGAAGAAACAGAAACTATAGTTATACATTATTTTTATGAAACAAACCCAAATGCCAGAAAGTGTGCAAACATCTGGGTTCCACCGAAGATAGTTCACTTTATTGGCATTTTGCTTGGTCTGAATAAAGATATCGAACCGAATCTTTTGTAATCTTGGGCTTTAATCATCGCTTCAAGAGGAAGAGGTAAATATAGGTAGGTCTGTATTAAGTACTTCAACAAGGGAGTCGATGCACTTCCCTTTCATTAAAAAGTGTTCTTCTTGTAATCTCTTTCAGCCTGTCATTCATTCCAATGTTTCCCTCCTCTTTCACTCAGGCGGTTTTCACAGACCTGGAGATTCTGGCTGCTATTTTTGCCAGTGCAATACATGATGTTGATCACCCTGGGGTTTCAAACCAATTCCTTATCAACACAAGTAAGTGTGGTTTATTTCTAGCAACACTGAGAGCCCACTGTGTACTTGGAGTTCTGTCTGCAGAAAACAATAGAGTAATTTCTTCAGTTCCCTCTACATCTATTTAGTTTTAGTCATCTTCTTCCTGCTTTCTGTTGCCATCGAGGATAGGTGTTAGCCCACACTTTGGATAAGGCAGCTGAAGGGTTTTCTGCTCACCCTCACTTCAGTTTAAATCATTATTTACTGTAGGTTTGTTGGTTTGTTTTTCATTGCTAAATAATGTGGTCTGTGGTGCAGGCTGTGAGCAGACAATTAAAATGAAAATCATAACAAAGGGTGCATCTACTAAACTGTAGAATTAAGACAGTTTGACACCACTTTAGTTGCCATGGTTCAATGCCAAAGTTTGGTGAGACTCTTTGCCAAGGAGTTTCACCAAACCGCAAATCCCAGAATGTTATAGCATTGGAACATGGCAGTAAAAGTAGTATCAAACTGCAGGGTAAATGCACCCTCATACAGCTTACATGGCTGAAGGCTTTTCTATTTAAAAAGGAAGATATCCATGCACATATAAAGCTCGTATGACCAAGAGAAGAGTGTTAGTGTCACTTTCACCTTAACATGGTAGTTTTCTATATGCAGGAATTCTTTTCCTAAGTGGTGGAGCATTTGGACCATGTGAAGCTTCCATTCTGCAGTTTGCACTGGCCACTGCCTAAACACACCCTTAACAGTCACATAAACATACCAACCTAGAGAATCGTAGCATCCCATTGAGCCAGTGATAAGATGTCAAAACTCACAAAATATCCTTATATAAAATAACACTTCCAAATCTGACTCTTAAAAATGAAATGGCTTCAGCCTGAATGCTATGTCATATTCTAATCTATTTCTGTGTATATAAGGATTAATAGTTTTTTTAAAACCCTCTTATTCCTTCTTTTAAAATAACATTGAAAAATACAAAAGACTACAACTTAAGGATGTTATATTTTAGTCCTTCCATGTGGGAGGTTGCTTTTCTAAGAAGATATTTTTGTATTGTTTTGATGATTAAATCTGTCAGATATGATTATTAAATAAAAGGGGTTTCATTGACAAAGAACGTCTTGTTTCTCTTCTATGAAGCTGTGCCTTTGGCAGGGGGGGGGGAGAGCAAGAGAGGATTTGCTGGCTCACGTGTTTGGTACAGGAGAGTGAGACTGCAGCAGAATAAATTGAAGGAGTAGAGCTTCTGCAGTCCTGTTGAGCCGCAGGGATTTTATGGCTGAACTTAAAAAAATTAAATAAAAGGACAGTCAGTGGACCAGACAGATGCACAACTAGCTTTGGGATGTGGAAAGTATAATAAATAGTAATTAAGGTCAGCAAACGACAAATAGCATTTCATCCCAGAACATGTAGACCAGTTTGTGGGAATGAACTCCAGCTGTATGTTTTTCTCCAAGTGCCTCATTAAGGAAGCCTAAGTAAACGCAAGGCAACTGTTTTGTGTTTTTTTCTGTGGCTGTTCCAAGATGCCGTACATGAGCTCTACTTGATTTCTTGGCTGTGTACAGACTTGAGATAAACACATACTCTTCTTTGTGGAGATTTGCATTTGGATAGTAAATACCTTTGCTCTTGCAGTTCTTGGCAGCAGTAAGCAGTGGTAAACTAGGAATTACCTTTGGGGACAGGCGACATAAGGAAAGGGACGCACGCACAACATGGTACAAGAGTAGGCTTTTGTCCAAAGGCTCAGGCTGTGTCTAAATGTTGCCTGGAAGGTCTACATAAAAATACTCATATAACTGTGGAAGTGAGAAACTCCAGTGAAAAGATGTCTAACATAAGATTTACAAGGAACTAATTACAGTGCATTTCCCTGAAACTACAATAAAGAAACAAGTTGGCCATTTATGCACTTGGCTCCAAAACTTTACAAACATGTAATTGCCATAAATGGAGAGAGGAAGACCTCTGCTCCTTTTGACATGGTATACGTGCACCAGCATGTTTTCTGATGGAAGGGAAGGTGGTTTGCAGATTCACTAATCATCGGAAATATGGAAGGGAAATTTTTGTTGCAAGATTAGCTGGTGATCAAGTTTCATTAGCTGATCTGATGTCGTCTTGCTCTTCCAATACTGCAAAACCCTTTTCTTCTGGAGAACTGTGCAGCCAAATGTTTCTGGATATGTCAAAGCCTTGTTTTGTTCTGTGTTCTTCCCATTTGACACATGCCAGCTGTCATACCACAGAAAGGGACATGTGCCCAAGGCTGCTGAAGAGATGCACTGTGTTATTCCAACTATTTCAGTTTGTAAATTGAATGTTTTAGAGGCCTTAAAGATGTGAAGCGGGAAGGGAGTGCAGAATTTCTTAACACTGTTCCCTTCAACTGTCCTGCAGACTCTGAACTTGCCTTGATGTACAATGATTCATCGGTCCTGGAAAACCATCATTTAGCTGTGGGCTTCAAGTTATTGCAGGAGGAGAACTGTGACATTTTCCAGAATTTGACAAAAAAGCAGAGGCAATCATTGAGAAAGATGGTTATCGACATTGTGAGTTGCTATTTGAGTTTATTCTTCTATTTCCACATTGTGTGCAGCTTAACTCTGCAAAGATCAGTTACAGATAAATATTTTTATGATTGATTGCATAGCATTTTAAACCCCAAGCAACACGTAACAAAAAAAGCAGTTCATCTCTCCCTTTTTAATTAATTGGATAGATTCTTAGCAGCTTATCTATCTAGTAGCTCAGAGTAATTTCATACCACATGAACTTGTTATGCGTTTCACCTTCTCTTTTGAAAAATGTGTTGCTCCATGAGCCATGTCTGCCATCATGAGCATATGTCCTCAACAGAGTGGTTATTCCTAGATCTTGTCCCTTTTGATTCATATCATTTATGTAGTTGAGGTCTCTACAGAGTCTCTTTTCTAGGATAATGTTCTTTGTTATGTTAGGTGAAAATCCATATCAATCCATACTAAATTCAGGCAGTTTTAACAATCTGTCCCTTTCTCTACTTCTTCAAGGTGCTAGCAACAGATATGTCTAAGCATATGAATCTATTAGCCGATTTGAAAACGATGGTTGAAACCAAAAAAGTGACTAGCTCTGGAGTTCTACTTCTTGATAATTATTCAGACAGGATTCAGGTAAGATGCTCTTTGCTGTAAGCATAAGCCTGGATTCAATTGAAATTTCCAACTGGAGTAGATTCATTGAATCAATGTAATTTACATTAATATTGATTTAATCCAGTGAGTTTACCCTGTTTGGGGTCAGCAGTTAGTTTTGGGCCACTGATTCTGTCTATTCATTCATGCAGATTTCAATAGACCTGTATGTTTTGAGGTCTGAATTGGTAGCCATTTCTACTGGCAGTAATCATATCTCCTAAGTATCATTTTTGCCTGTTAGCTGTGTTTTGCATTTAGCATTGCATATTGTCAGTCATTGGATTACTTTCCGATACTTGAGAACATCCAGGTGATGTTTTCTGATGAACTCTCACATTTCTTTCAAGCAGATTTGTCTTGCACTTACAACATTTTTGGCCTTTTAGGAGAGGCAGAAGCTACAGATGTGAGATAACTAGGAGGCTATTAATGTCAGTGTGAAAAACACATAGCACACCATCACTTTACTGTTCAGAATAAACCTTACACTCCATGTATATTTGTGATTCTGTTTTCACGCCCGCCAAATGTGTAAATGGAAAAAGCCATTTGTTTCCAACAGAAGAAGACAACAAGTTCTCAAAGTAGATTTTGCTCCCTCTTGTCTGTGTTAGGTTCTACAAAATATGGTACACTGTGCAGATCTAAGCAATCCAACGAAGCCACTCCAGCTGTATCGCCAGTGGACAGATAGAATAATGGAAGAGTTCTTCCGACAGGGAGATCGAGAAAGAGAGAGGGGCATGGAGATAAGTCCCATGTGTGATAAGCACAACGCATCAGTAGAAAAATCACAGGTAATCTATTTAATGCAGAGTGGTCTGATTAGTTAATAAATCTGTTGCATGAAAATGAAAGGAAGATACAAACTAGAGTTCTGAACCATTACAATATAAATAAATGAAGTTATGTTTCGGAAGGCAAATCAATAGCTTTCTTTACAATGATGTAAGATCCATTGATATAGTCACCACCTCACTACTAGCAAATATATTTTATTCTGGTTGGCAAACATAAGGGGAATTCCCACCTTTCCTCTGTGACTGCTTGTGACGTAGGGAAGATGGGAGGAACTTTCCTTAATATGCACAGAACCTTATAGACATCTGAGGTTTCAAGTATTTTTTGTTAGACTCTTGGGTAGAATGCATTGAGGGCAAATGCCAGTATCACTCCTCAGGTGTTGTGAGCAGAGTTCACTCTCTGCAGTTCCGCTTGATCTCTTGTTCATTTTAGTTGCTGATTCCATCTAAAGTAGATCCATCAGTGAGAACTTAGTAAATTAATGCTTTCTTCATTTGTTCAATCGATCTCCTCTAAATGGGACTGATAGTTAATTTTTCCTTTTGTCATCTTATGGAGTGGCGGAATACATTCATGATGGTTGTGGGGTAGAACTAGGTATTGTTTACCCATGGCAGTGATCCAAGAGACAGGGAACAGCAGACTGAAGGAAAGATTTCAGAACACCTCTGTTTGGTAATAGATACATTTGCAAAATGAATTCATGCATCATTTGCAATAATACCTCCTCTAATTTTTATTGTCACAGGTGGGCTTTATAGACTACATTGTTCACCCTCTCTGGGAGACATGGGCAGACCTTGTACACCCAGATGCCCAGGACATCTTGGACACATTGGAGGACAATCGTGAATGGTATCAGAGCACAATCCCCCAGAGTCCTTCTCCTGCTCCGGATGACCAAGAGGAGGGTAGACAGGGCCAAACAGACAAATTCCAGTTTGAACTAACACTGGAGGAAGATGGTGAATCAGACACAGAAAAGGATAGTGGAAGTCAAGTGGAAGAAGATACCAGCTGCAGTGACTCCAAAACTCTTTGCACCCAAGACTCAGAATCCACTGAAATTCCACTTGATGAACAAGTGGGAGGGGAAGTGGAGGAGGAGGAAGAGGAGGAGCAGAGCCAAACAGAACATTGTGTGCAAGAAGAACATTCTCCTGATACGTAACAGTATGATGGCTCTGTGACTCCCTTTGATCTTTTCTCTCACTTTCTCTCTTTTTAAAAATTGAAAAATGGTTTCCCAAGTGCATGTCACATGGCACAACCATGGTCACGCCTCACTGTCATCTGCCAGAGATGTTTGTTGATCAAAAACTGACTTGATTATTCAGTTTGGCACTCAGGAATATTGTAGCCAGAATTGTTCATCTCCATGGCATCAGAGAGCAAAGGAAAACACCTGCAAAGAACAGTTTAATAAGAGTTCAACTTGGCAGATACGATCAGAGTGTGTGTCTACTCCAAGATGTTTTTCAAAAGGAGTAAAAGCTGGTCCAAAGCTAGTGTGTGTGCGTGTGTATGTGTGTGTGTGTGTATTTTGTATTGGATTTTAATTTTCATGAGAGAGGCAATTTGTAGCATACATCATCAGAATCTACAGAAAATGGCCAGCAAGTGAATCAAGATTTCTAGTGGGGGAAAAATGCACTCAGAGAATGGGACACAACATGAATCTGTTACCAGTAGGAAGATAAAGCTGTGGAAATCGCATAATTTTCTAAATTTCAAGTCTTCCTGACACACGACTGAAAAAAGTGTAGCTCAGTGGGTTGCACTGACATCTGCATTTTGTATAATATGTAAAATGGAAATCTTTTTGTAGAGTTTACTTTTATTATTAAATGTATTGAGGTATTATATTTAAAAGAATGCAGCACCCTCAGAAATTCATCTGCCACTGGTTTGTCTTCTCCCCCTCCCCACCCAAAGAGTAACTTGCAAGTTCTTAGTACAAATATATGCTACACTGGATAAATTGAATTTTATATTTGTTTGCACTTAGATTTTATAGCAGTTCATTCAGAAATTATTGTTTTTGTAGACCAGTTCAAACTAAATTGTTGTTTTCAAGTCCATCCCTCCTGATCCGTGTGTGTTTCAGAAACAACTTTATCAACATTCATTTTTGGCTCCCCACCCCACCCTAAACTTTTCTAAGAGCAGCAATATATCATTGTCCTTCTAGATGACTTCGTCCTTCAGACCTAGCCTTTATTGATTTAGGCTTTACTGTGCTCAAACTGAAATTCCCCTCTTTTCTAAAATATAGTGGACCACTAGAGTAGCAGTTGTTTCAAACATGATCGAAACCCATTTGTGGATTGCTGGAGCCTTGAAAAGTGAGCACCATGTTCTCTGCAGTAGACCGAACGAGTTCTAGAGGGTGGAAGAAAGATGACAAAATGATAGAGTCACTCTTAAAAGTTGGTGGGATACTTTTACTACAGCTGTAATTTGCAGGCCACTATGACCGTGACTCACTCTCTATAAGTGCAAATATAATAATTTCCATAAGGCTGTTTTGGGTTGTACATGATCTGCCCCAATGACTGACAGTGTAAAAAAAGTTAGCATGAGGCCATACAGACTGTTGTGATAACAGATAACAGATAACAAGCTACACTTGAACAGGAATTAAGATGAGTATCTTCAAATGATGTGCAATGGAATTTTTTGTTGTGTTTTGTTAAAAATAGTCTGGGCCATTTCTCCCAATATCCCAGTTCCATTTTGTCATCCTCACAACACTCTTTCTCCTTTTTACACACAGTTAAGTGCCACTCCCTTCAGAGGGGCTGACTCCTTAGTAGGTGTTCTTTTTTGTAAGATTTGAGCAGGAGACCAGTTTAGCTAAATTAGGTTTATCGGAATTGCTTTTGATCTTTATTACAGCAAGATTATTTTAGAGAAAATTTTAAACATCTGGCAGCATCTTGTCGAAAAAAAGCCATTTGACTGTTTGGTGATTGGATTTTAGGGTGTTTTCCCACCCCAAATTATATGCTGCCCTGTTATGAAGTTATATTGACTATTGAACAATGAAGGGTGCAAAATAGATTGCCTTGTAAAACTGAGGTAGAATTACAGAGTTGGAAGAGAAATGTTGAAGATAACGCATTTGTACAACAAAGCATAGGCTGCAGTCTGTATGCCATAAAAGCTAATAATTTTAATGAATTAAGAATGGTTTAGCATGGATTGTCTTAATGGCCTTAGCATGCAGCTACTAAAATGCATGGGAAACCTGTCCACAATGGCAGTCATCAGATGCAAAAAAATAACCTCATCTGATCTATGCCATGGTTGCAGTTTTGACAGATCCATAACTGTACACCATGCATCTCTTGACTTATCAATTTGGGGTATTTTCCAAATTGACAAGTCAAGAAAAAAAGTTAATTTTGGAGCGGTACAACTCCCAGATTCCCTCCAGGATCATCCTAGCTACAGATTCTAATTATTCCAAAAAATAATTTTACATACTTTGATATTTACTTGTTGTCTATGTGCATACAGTAGTGTTTCTACATATGTAATGCCCTTGTTGCACATATTCTGAGTCTTAGTCACATAGCTGAGTGATGAGGCCACATTGAAGGCAATGAAGAGAATGAGTCCACTTTAAATCTGGTTGCTGCCTCCTGCAGAATTCTGGGGTTTGTATTTTAGTGAGGCTGTTAAAGGCTCTTCCCTAAACTACAAACCCCAGAACTCTGCAGGAGGCAGAAACAAGATTTAAAGTGGATTCATTCTCTAGTGTGATTAGGTCAATAAATTGATTAGGATCCAGACAACATTAGTCAAGTTTTAAGTATATCAGTCAAGGAAATTAAGTTGACCTTTTGATTTTAAAGGCACTACAACCTGACCCTTTTATTCTGCAGCCAACTCTTTGGCCTGAATCCCATTGGAAGCTCTGGCTAGATTGGAAGAGTGAACTGACTAGGGTTATATATATATATATATATATATATATATATATATATATATATATAGCCTTTTAATATGTCCAATTTTCTTCTTAATTTTTACTGGCTTTTGTTGAAAAACAAAACAAAAATACTAACTGGGGAATTGAATGAAACTGTTTGACCATGTTCCTGTCCTCCCCTCCCTGCTTCAACATTTGTTCAGTCCCCAAGAGTGCCTGGAATCTTAAATGACAAAAAGCAATATCAATTCCAAAAATCAATATGGACCTAGAAGGGTATTTTATGGGTGCCAAAAGTTAATTGTATGACGTGGGGTGCTCCTAGCTTCAGCCAGCAAGAGGTATTTGTAGGGAAGGATCTATTATAAGAGATCTCACATGTTGTTGCAGTCAGGTGAATAATTTTGCATTTTAATGGGATTTCCCTGATGCTTCATTTTAAGGAGGTATTTTTTAATCGCTGGATCTGGTTGAGGTGCACACTTTTGAAGTAGTAGATGTGAAGAAAATACAACCATATTGTGTAAACTGCACCCATACATATGGACAATCATATGGTAGAAAATATCATTTTTAGAGCCAGGGATCGAATGCACTGTACAATCTTCTCTTTCTTTTTTTTCCTTATTGCCAAAGTGTGCTTTAGCACTGCACACTGCTTTTTAAAAAAATATTACTGTTGTAAAGTGATTTCACATATTTTGTGTGTGTGTTTTGCCATAAGAAAAATGCAGTGAATTGGTTACAGTATAGAGAAGAGGAGCAGGGAGTAAGGGAGAGAAAGAGAGGAGCCTGAATTTTCATCCACACTTTAGCTTGCAAGTTACTGTTCGCAGTAATTCTGTGTCTGTTTCCTTTTAATTTCTGGTTTTATGACAGTCCCCCACCCTCCCAAATTGCTATCAGACATTATAGGGAGAACAAATCACATTCAAAATGTTTTTTTTTAAAAAAAACAACAACTTGAGAATGGAATGAATTTTAAAGGACACTTTGACAATTCTTTTAAAATGCATTTATTTATTTTTTTATTCGTGCCATGCATATTTTTCTCACCAAATGACCTTACTTGTAATAAGTCTTGTTTGTCTCTGTTTACAACCATGTATTTATTGTAATGTATATACTGTAATGTTACTTGTAAATTATAAGTTCTTATTATAACATCGTCCTAGCTAGGGTGGTGTTGCTATATTTGGAAACTCTTGGTGAGAGAATTAATATTGTGTATACATATTCCCCTTGTACATTTTCCCCCCTCCTCCTGTAATATATCCTATATCACCTTAGAGCTTGTTTATGGAAGAGTTGAGAAAAATTATAAAATACATAGATATATTAAATTAAAAGCTGCAGGTCTTTGGTCCCAGGGCTGTGCCTTAACTTTAAACAATATTTTCTTCTGTTTTGCTGCATTAGAAAGAAAGGTCGTTGTGGAACATGGGCTGGGCATATCTCCACCACCTTTTTTGTGTTTTTAAGAGACTTCAGGTCTTGACTCCAAATTAGAAGCTCCCTATTCATTGGGCTTATATTTATGATCCCACTAAAAGTCCTAATTCTAACATACTCGTGTATACACGCTGCCCTGCTCGTAGAGTATGTTTGCTTTTCTTCATCACCTCTTCAGGGATCACTCTATATTTTGCTTTCTTAAAATCAAACCCAAATAAAAACACAACTACTAATGATGGCCACTACTCAATTTCAACTCTTACTTTCCAACCTTAATGAAATAGGCAATTTTTTTGTTTATTTCAAGGAGCAGGTTGCAGGGCAGAAGGGACTGATGGTGTCCATTGTTGCTACTATAGCAGGTCTCTCGATCAGGCCACAGTTTATATTGTGTAATAAAACACAACCTGTTTTCCCTCCAACACTAATCTTAAGCATTTCAAGAAGCCAAAGCATGCTTCTGTATAACTGAATCTGTAGATATGTGTATCATAAATGTAGAGAGTGATTGTAACCCTTCAGATCTTGTAAGCACTACCAGTCTTTCTTAGCCCCCCCCCCCCCAATTTTTGGGCAGAAATTCGCAGTGTTCTGGACACATGTCTTGCTGCTGTTCCTGACTATAATTTCAAAGTCTGGATACCTCATTGCCATTCCACTTATGCCCAGCCCTTGTAGCATGTGACTGTTCAGTGAAAGGAGAGATTCTTTTTCAAGGAAAAAACAGAGCCTCCTTCTTGACACAAACTGTAGATTTTAGCAGCCCTGGCCCAAAGGAATACGATTGCTTTTGTTTTAAACAGTATAAAAGGGACACTATAACAACTGAATTACTGAACAATATTTTTTGTTGTTTTCAGTTTGGTTTTGTTTCCTTTGGGTATGTCTTTAGAGTGGCTACTTGTGTGAACATTGCAAATAATTCAATGGTTTCTTAGCCTCTCTTACAGCCTATGGGATAGTACTGTATGTCAAATACCTTCATATGAAATTTTTATATGCAATGGAAATAAAAAGCATGGGTTGATTCTGCCTAGATACTGTACTTGACCATCTTTTTTGCAAATAAATTTATCATACACTACTAAGCACCTGTCAGTCATAAGATTTAT